ACAAAAATTATACATTTTAATATAAAGTTAATGTCCTAACAAAGTTTAGGAGTTTATAAATAATTATAAAATCAAATAGAAAAAGATAAAGTCTTTACTTTCACATATAATTTTAATAAATTAAGAAAAGAAATGGTCACGTATTGAAAATCGCCACATTTTCTGTGCATTGTCTTATCGCGTCTTATCGGTATCGATTAAGTCAATGAACTTTCTAAAATTAATCGAGTGCTTCTAAATTAGCAGTTTCTAAATTCGGAGCATTGATACTTTTTCCTGCGATCGAAAAATCGATCGCATTCCTTATTAGCAATTAATGAAATCTTTCCCGTCTCACTATATCTTATTACCGTTTACGTAGCGAATCTAATCGCTTTCTCACGCAAGATAATCGTTCTGTCGACGTTTTGTATCCGTAATTAAAAATATTTAATAAAATTTTTTGAATTTAAACTATTGAATCAATAAAAAGATCTTTTCAAAATTTCAAGATGTTATGTAATACGTACTTAGAATCTTGCATTTTAGAAAAAAAAAGGAAAAAATGATAATTCCATGCATACGTATAATTATTTATAACGTATAATGACAATCAAAAGGACATGTGATGAGGCAGCATGCGATGTAATTTATTCATGTATTTATTCATATATATGTATATTTACCACGTGAACGTCCTTCACACGTAAATCCTGTCTGAGGTAATGTTGTGTAGGCGGGATAGTCGACGCCTGGCTCACCCGGCACATTTTTTCTGATGTCAGATAGGTCTGAAAAATACAAGCAGATTCATCTCTTCAGATAGTAAAGACCAAATTGCCCATCTAGAAACTATTTTTAACATAACGAGCTGTCTAGAGAATTAATGAGAACTGACTACTTCTTTATAATTTATAATTGTCGTTTACATAATTTTTCATAACATATGAATTTTCTGCTTTTTGAAAATTACTTATAAATTTACCAGAAAAATGCATGTATAAAGATCGCAAACAATTAAATATCTTTAATTTACAACCATCATATATTTCTCATTAAATAATATAATAAGATCGATAATTAGAGCGACATTTCTATTTGAATGGCGATAATCAAGTACATATATAATTGCTTACACGTACAATTAAAAAGAAGAGAAAAAGAGATGTCGTTAAATACCGAGTAGATACAGAGTTCCCTATCGATCGTCAATTATTGACCAAGGTCATAGAAAATAGGCCGCGATAATCGTGTCTATGATATTTAAATCTTTGCCTGTTGTGTGGTCGAATAGATAATGTCTTCTAACTGGCATCCATATAATCAGCAAGATTTTACATGACCTATTCGACTCTCACCTTTCATAGAAATATTATACCCCGCCTTTCCCATGAGTGATAATCCACTTGCTTGAACGATTAATACATACTTATTCACGCATGCATCTATCTGTATTTATGATTGTGGTTAAAAAGATGTTTGCAGTGTCATTTGAGTATGTATCTGAGCATAACGAGAGGATAGTTTTTACGAGAGTAATAGAATAAATTAAAGTTTTAAAAAAACTACAGTTATAATAAAATGAAGTTTGAACTCATAATTTCCATAAAATTATGTCATCAAGAAGTATCGTGTAATTATCAGAGATGCGTCAACATCGACTTTCATCACTGAACGTAGGTTTAGTTTAAAGATAACTATTCCTACGCCTCACAAATATGTGTATGTACAAAGAAAATAATTACGAAATATAAAAGTGAATAACGCAGTGTCCACATCTTGATGTTAACTGCGAAATTTCATTGCCTATTAAAGGATAGCCAGAAAGATAAGCGAGAATAAGAAAAATGAAAGATCAAAGAATATAATTTCGTAATTTTCAAAGGTTACAGATTTACAAGATCCAAGGATACTTAAAGATACATGTTGAAGGATCCCAAAATCGTAAGATTGATGATTCCTACACTTCATGGATAGAAATCGATCCGCGATGGAGAATGATAAATAACCGCTCACCTGTCATATAATCGTATGGATCGTATTCGCCGCCCGCGGATCCGTAACTGTCGAATGCTCCGTCCTCGTTCGGATCGAAGTACTTCCTGTAATAGGTAAACGATTTAATCAATTCGCAACGTAATCAAGTGTACGGAAGATGCCGCTTATTGTTAGCGGGAACGTACCTTCCTCTAGTTCCGTCAATCGCTCTGCGTGACAGGAAGCTCCTCCGCGGAATTTCATGTTCAAGACTTCGCTCGACCGTGTTGTACAAGACTGCCGTCACGAGACCTACATAGAGAGTATCCTTAGATCATTCGCGGAAGAGAGTGCTTGAATGAATATTATAGATTGTGCAACGGAGTCATTGAAATGTCCAAGATCTTAAGACTTATGCGTGACGATTCGTATTTAAAATATTAATAAAAAAATTGAAAATTATTACACATTAATATGTGTAACTTGTGCTTACTGCTCATTCTAAAATATATAGATGTAAAATATTTATTTTATATATATCCAAATATATAATTATATATTATTTAATATTGTTAAAAATTTAAATAATTTAAATAATCAAAATAAAATAAATTAAATTAATTATAAGTGCGTTAAAAACAATATATTTTTTTACAGCAAAAGAAAGTATTTCAAAACTAAATTCTACTTAAATTTTTGCTGACAAATAAGAAAAGATATCTTGATGTTTCTGGTTTTTATCTGTGTGTTAAGCCTGCGAGTTTTGATTGCTTGAGAATACATAATGTTGGAGAAGCGCGCGATTGCACTGATCATTGTAAATATCGCTCGATTTGGATTTCGTAATCGAACGAGCGTGGCGTGAAAGGTCGCTCGGGACATCAGAGACCGTCTCCACTGTTGTACTTTTGAGGCCACGCTAAAATTCGATTCGCGCTTTACAATCGATTAGACAAGGTAAGCCCGTAATCCACGATTGACCATAAACGATTATTGTCATCACGACTAAATACATCGGCTCAGCAGTTGATCCCAAAAAACCCGAGACTTCCACGATAGTAACCACGATCGGTCTCTCTGCTCGCGACAATCTCTATCGCGGCAAACAAGTTTGATTCTATCTCGTAATTCATATTTAGGCTTAGAATGATGCTGAGCGGTGCATCGGACGATGTCATTATCACAGACGCGATAATTTCGCGTTTCTCGCAACTCGGTAAAATCGAATTTTCCCTGAAAAGGTAATGCGGTAGATGCACCTCAAAGAGCGCAACTCAAGATATAATTATTGTTACATTATGTAATACGATTACATGATTATATAATGTTATTTAATATTACGCAATGCAATACGATAAGTATGATTCGTGGGCTCTCGCTGACCGTTCGAACGGTCAGCGATGAGAAGATGGTGAAGTCATATTTTCTCGACTGTATAAACGCGCTATTTTATCCTCTATTAAATTTTCTTTTCGGATTAAACGCGGATAAAAACTCGATGCCGAAAGAATTAAAAAGTTAATTGCCAAATCTATTCGATCGAAACTAGCTTTGTTAGAATTATTTGTCCCAAAAAATTGTAATATCAAACATATAAAAATGCTAAATATTATTAAAAATTTTTTCATTGTTTTGCAATCATTAATTTTTTTCTTCTTCGATAATATGTAAAGAAGTCAAAATGTTTGCTGTGTAATTGTATGTGTACGAGTTGTAACGCATAGCTCAAATAATGCACTATTATATGCCTGTCATAAAACTATCAAGGATTCAATGTCTATAATTTTGTTGTTATTACTCATAACAGTCAGCAATACGTGAAATCTTTTGAAAGGCCGACAATCCAGTGATGTTCTTGAATATACGTGCTCTCCCATTGTGTCTGCCATTTTCAGCGTCATCAATGACATTAAAAAGACGCAAAGGCCATGTAGAGAATGAGCATGACAAAGACCGGTGGTCGTGATAGAGCTTGCTGCTCTCCTGGTGTTACAAATCGCTCGATTTGCGAGAAGTCGACCGTAATTATTTCCCGTTCGACTAATCGCGCAATTAGCGGCCAGATGATCCGAAAAAGGTGCCTGCGCGACCTTCTGTAAGAGAATATATCGAGATGCGGCAAAAGGAGCCGAGTAATTAGCGACATCAATTTCCGAAGGCAAAAGTGCTTATTTGAACGTTTTTTTATTAATCCCGCGTCATTCGAGACAAATCGAATTTCATAAATTAGTATTTAAACTAGCTATTCCGAATAATCGATTTTACAGATCGCTGATAATATTTATTGGTTATCTGTAAAATATATAGACTTTGGAACTTCGACACAGAATAAGACAGAAAGGATATATGTAGCGATAAAATTTTATAATTTTTACTTTTAAATATCTTGAAATTAAAATTAATTATTACAAATTTAATTTTGTTATTTATTTACATCTCTACATCTTAATTCATCGAAATATTAGTAAAAGCAAAAGTATATAATTATAATCAGATTGTACTATGTCAATATTTCAGTAAAGATATCACAATTGCAAATTGATTTTTTGAATATAATTTTAAAAATACTCGAGGTCGGTAAATCTGCATAAACTCGAGGATACAAAAATCTCATTTGACGGCTCAGCGAATCCATGTGATATTATTGCCATCTGTCACGAGCTACACGTTCAATAGCATTAAATCAAAATGCCAACGTATTTCATGCACAGGCAATAAAATTGTTCACGGTAATTACCGCGATTTACACGGCACATTTGCAAATGGACGTGCGTCGGATTGTCGAAATCGTGACAAAAAAAATATGTAAGAATTCTGATGTGCAAGGCTTTGGAATACCTACGTCGTAAACTGATCCACTTTATGAACATATTATCTTAGCGATGTGTTCTCTTACCAATATTGCGTAAACGTCATCTCGAGTTTACGTGAATGGACCGTCTGTCGCGGCGAACGTAGATGAGTGGTCTCCTTAATTATAATGCGCGCGCCGGTGATTGATTAAGGCTGCTACTGGCGAGAACGCGCGAAGCAGCTCGAGAGATCGAGCGTTACATAATGTACGCGTATATTACGAATAGAGGAAGTGAAGAAGCATTTAAAATCTTTGTATAAATTGTACCATAAATATCATATGAGATTTTAGTTCTATCTCACGATTAATTAAAGGTCACGCTGAATATCTGATATATCTATATTTACAGCAACGATAATTTATTTTATCATTGTATATATAAATGTTATTTAAAATTTTAAAGAGTAAGAACTAAAGTAAAATACATCTAATAATATAATAAGAACAAAATCAAAATCTTTGGTTTTGGCCACTAATTTAAATACGTCATTAAAATTATGTACTTACAGAAACTATCACGAAAGCAATTGTTTCTTACCTTTTTCTTCGATCCAATATAATCCAATATAATCATCGAATGGTAAATTATAGCATTTATATATAATAATATATCACACATAATTAACGTTTAATAATCAACATTATACCAGTTGACAAAGTACTCAATAAATTATCGGGTAGAAGATTCTGTTTGATGACTAAAATAACCACCTCTATCTCCGAATTAAAATTCATGAATACGGGATACATCTAGAATGTTGAAAGAGTAAAATTGTTTTACGTCATAACCGTCTCATGTCATATGATCGCGATCGCCGGAAATTTTAGCGAGTTCGTGAGTCATTGCCCGATATCGAGTCATCGAGTTCCCATCGACATAACTAAAACTCACAATCCCCGGTGAGCGCTTTCGTTACCTCCCCGTTGCCGGCGTTTCTTGTATTCTTAATATTTAAATGGCCGTAATGATCTGGGGTGGGTCATGTATTCGGGCCAACAACAGGTTATATTAGAGTGTAAATTCAGTTTTTATGCGTATATACTGGAAGAAGAGAAGAGAGAGAAGGAAGGAATTTTTGTTGGGAGGTGGTAGGAAAGAAAAAATGGGAAAGCGCAGAGGCCAGGGTTGAGTCGGGAATCGAACCCGAGATCTCCGGGATGTGAGTCAGGCGCGCTACACACTGAGCCACCGGAGGCCCCGTTGCCGGCGTTTAAATCTGCGATCTCCGGCGTGTGACATTACCATCGTTGAGAAATTATTCAATCTTGATCGATAAAAAAAGATCAGCATTCGATTAACATACATAGCTCGTCTTATCTGCCTGCGGCCATAAACTAACACGGGATCAAAATAAACGAACATAGTGGAAGGGTGAAGAGGATTTCGCATCACTATCACTCGCCGACCAGCGCACAACAGATCGATTTTGTGGGAGCCCATTCGAATACAGACTCCCCCACACACGTGGACACTTACACAGAATGGACAGGCTAATTTTTGGCATTTTGTCGCGGCAGACGGGGGCTCCGATTACGCTCGTCCACCGTGAGAAGCAACGGCGGATGCACTGCGCACCTTCGACGCGGTCCCTTCGACTCGACTCTGACTCTCGACTCTTCCTCTCGACGGGGACCCGTCGCGTCTCCTCGCCGGCCGGCGCGGTAGGGATCCCATGAGATCGTGGGACCTCTTACCTTTCTTCTTCTCGCGGGGGCCTCTCACCTGCGCCTATCTACGGGCCATCCCTCGCGCGAAAAGGAATTCCGCGCGAGTCGCGCCTTTCGCCGGAATCTCTCCAGTACGCTCAAGGAGAGGATCCAGTTCCTACGCTTCAAAGGCGGACGAATAAACGATCCCGGTGATTGATGCAAATTAGATTTTCTCTGTCGCCAGGTAGTCGAATATATACACAACATGTCATTTAAAGTCACGACTGCTGGTTAAGGATTGAGAGAGTACTCGAAAAGATATATATCTAGTTATACTTCAATTCTCAAATCCCGTTCGTTGTCATTAGTCGAAAATCTATTAGCCGGGTATTTAGTACCCGTCCATCGTTACTCGAAATTAAAAATAATAAATTTAATTGTCCGGATAAAACTTTCATTGCGTTACGCGGTTCATAAATATTTATTTATCTTGAAGTCGTCGATGTTCCTGGATATAGAAAGCGAAGTTACATTGCATGAAGGCTTAAAATCGATATGTGCACGTGGAAAGCTACGTGTAATTGAAATAAGGCAACACGTTATATAAGTTCGATGACATTGCCTCGATTCGCGTACACATGTGACCGTTTTCGCCTTTTGCATAACCGGCCATCTTGTCTCTCCCACTTTCGGCTTTCCTCTTAGAACCGCGACTGCAATAAGTCATACACACGCGCTATTTTCACCCGGTGCGTGCGATTTTTCGAGGCCGCGGGGGGGTCGCCTCTCGCTCATACATATTAGTTAACGGTAGCGATCGGTATCTTAATTAAGCGAACGCTTGCGTGGCCCTCGCCTAAAGCGCGCTGAAGCTTTTTTGTTTAATTAAATTTTTTACGACTGGAAGGAGGGGCGCTTCTTACGTAGCAAACCTCAGGCGCTAAAATTAGAGTATACATTTCGTCGACACGTGCGGAATTACACACAGAAAAATATTATTCTATTGCTAAGTAAAATGATTACTCACAAATATTTACTTGTATATAGTATATATTTTTCTGTGTGTACGTATGCAGGGCATTGCGGAGAGTCTAACAGATATACAAGATACATAGACTATCCCTTGGGTTTTAATGTTAATGACAGATATTTGATGCTTAAACCAGGCATCAAGCGCATTTATAACGCGTGTTCTATAAAAATATTTAAATCTAATATATATTTTTCCATACACACCAGGTAAATAATAGAAAATGTTCTTATTATATAATTTATACTTATATTAAATATATTTTTGCGTCACATTATTTTTTCTTGTTAATTTATTATCGAATACTTTATATCGGATTATATATGTGTGATGCTTATTTTACTCGATAAAATAATCGATACTATTGGAAAATTAGTGTTTTCTTGTTAAAAAATATACCAGTTAAAATTTTTGTGTTAAATATTTAACACATTTATGTGTTAATTTAACATATTGCTATTGTGTTAATTGAAATAAATTAAATTATTAAAACAATTGAAAAAAAAGTATAAAAATATTATAATACAATGCGCATATTTTTAATTTTACACAACAGATATCCGTATTATTAGTGACAGAATTTATCTGTTAAAATTAATAGAAAAATATGTTGATTTTATTCTACAATAGGAGTGAGAGTGACTACACGCCGTCAACATAACATTTTTCCAAGTTAATTTTATCATTAAAAATATGTGGATTTTACACAAAATTTATTTCAAATTACTATAAAGTTCGCATTCATTTTGTATTGAAATATTAACAAAGTATTAGTGTCATCATTTAACATATCCACATTATGTTAAATTAATATGTATGTTAAATTTAAGTCAAATTTTCCAACAGTTTAAGATAAAAATGATAATTTTTGAATGATTTTTATGGAGCTAATTTTTTGTTTGAAGGTTTATGTTTCGAGACTGACGCGAGAGCGAATCCGTGCCTGCCGCGATACGTTACGTGAAGCCGGTCAGTAGGTACGCGCGTTGCATTCTCACGTAACAGCGGTGGGATGCTGATGTATGGTGAGATGCTCGCGCGCACGTTCCTTTCGCCCGCTTCTCGGTCGCATCGTCGGTCAGGGGACTTAAACAAAACGGCAAGCGCAACCATTTACGATAACCACGCGCTTTCATGCAGAACGGTACCGTTGTAATACGCAAGCCACATAATGGCAAAAAGGCTTATTGTGCGTCTTGCATCACGTTGTGCTCCCGCGAGAATGCACATATATATCATATATCTATAGTAAAACGAAATGCTCGTTTACATAAAGCTCAAACTCGCCGCTCCCCGAAGATGGAATCTCGCGATTTTTGCGCGGGACGTCTTATGAAACTCTAATGGAAACTTTGATAATTTGTATCTTGGTAAGATTTATTGTACTTTGCATTCAATATAAGCATTTTTCATGTGAGTATTATTACTCGATATAAAAATCTGAAATACATTAAAAATAACGATGCAGTCTTTATTTTATACTCTTTAAAATTCATTTATTTGCCAAACTTAATTCTTTAAGTTAACACATTTTTCTCTGTTCCTGGTCACATATAAGTCACAAAATGTCTTGTTGCAGTTTTAGCTGTCTCAAAACGCTTGAAAGAAATCTACAAAAATTTATACATATTCCTTTTGATATATCAATAAAAAATAATCATGTATAAAAAAAGTTAAAAAATAAAGGTAAATGTTCGGATTAACTTACACTTCACGGATCGTTTTTATTTCTACATATATTATAGAGGGTACATTCCTAATATACTTTGAATTTTGTAGCGCTCTCTTCTGGTTCCAGAGATATGCGATTTTAAAGTATCGTAAAAATAACATTTTAAGAAAATAAGATTTAGCCCCTACCTTGACCTTGACTTTGACATAGTTCAACGTTATTATAAAGTAAATGCGTGAGCGGGGGAGGGACTCCGTCTTTCTCCTGCATTCTCATCCCGAAAAAATCTAACCTAATCCAATTCATGTCCGTGGGATAAATTTTTATTATTTTAAGAAATAATTTATCCTTGGAACATGGGTTGGGTTAGGTTAGATTTTTCCTGGTAGGAACCCCGCCCCTCTTCCGCATAAGAAAAATATTACAAAACGAAGCAGTATACAATTGTTTATATCTTATTAAATCATATCAACAACTAAATATAAACAAAAAGAAATTCTTAGCGAAACTAAACAGTAATCCAGAAGCATACTGACAATGATGTAATAACGAGCAAATGTAAACAAAAAAATATAAATACGCAAGTAGGATATAACGAAAAAATGATACAAGTAAATACGAAAATTATGATACTTCAAAATCGCATATCTCTGGAACCAGAAGAGACCGCCACAAAATTCAAAGCATGTATTACTTAGGAATGTACCCTCTACAATATATGATATATAAAAATGAAAATGATCCGTGAAGTCTAAGTTAATCTAAACATTTACCAAAATAAGTTTTAAACATTTTTTTTATTGATTAAGACTTTCGAGATATTCTATTGTTAAAATATCGATAGAGTCAAAATGACACATATGTGTACCTTTAAAAATTAATATTTTCGAAATAAGCATAAAATATATATATATGTAAGTACTTTTGTGAGCGAGCCGTTTGTTGTTCGAACGACTCATTATAAATATTATACGTTATAAATCGAACAAACGAGAAAGAGCATGGAGGCATTAGAAAGGCTCGATTCATTCGTATATTCTCGAATCCTTTATTCGGCCGATAAAAGCTTGTTCAAGGATATATTATAGATCACGCAGGACATTGTACTGTGACGTTAATGGAATTGCAATCGACAATATGACAAGGTGATTAAGCGATTAGCCGCATATAATTTCTGACGAGCTAAACCGCAGGAAACGAGGGACATTAGAATGTCTGAAACAAGCGGTTTTTTTATTCTATAATATCAAGTAGTGGTACGGAGGCGAAAGACAGGAAAAAGTCCTTTCGCCAAGGATGGTGATCGGACCGCCTATAACGGTCTCGTCAAGGATAGAATCTATTAACGTTTGTTAGCGCGCCCCTATATACGCGATAGCGCGTTTGCTTATGCAAATCAAAAAGATGCCGATATTTGCTCAGGCAAGTATTATTATTGACTTTCATCGGCATGACCCTGTTTGCAACTTACATATATATAAACTCACGTGGCTTGAAAGGGAAGTTCCATGGAGACTTTCTTCGCTGAGAAGTCGTAAGTAAACCGAAAGCAAAATATCATTGCGAATATAGAACTTCTTTTTGCATTTCAATTCCGCATCATATTAAGTTAGCAGCAAAATCAAGATGTTAAAATGATTAACTTTATATCGCTTAATTGATTGTGCAAACATATATAAAATTTTTAATTTATAATGCAATATCTATAAAAGCAATTTAACTATATTTCTCTTTATTTCCTCCACGCGCATGTTTTTTTTTTTTTTAATATAGATTGCTTATATATATATATAATATACA